GCAGTGTGGGGTAGATTAGGCATCCTTCCGTCATAACATGCTCTGTATGGAGGACTTGGAACAGTGTCTAGTGTGGTTGAGAAGGCCAACTGGAGAGTGATAGTCCATTTCATATTGAAGATGGTGTGGGGTAACAAATTAAAGTAACAAATGATGGGCATCGTGGGAATTTGAACTCGTTGCCACATAAATGCAGGCCAGGACTCTTGTACTATTAATAGTTGCCTAAGAGGTGGCATTTCAGCTTCCCTTTCATGAAGCTGTTACAGGAGCCCTGCCCCTTCTTCCATGTAGCAACCCTACAACTGTTGCATGAAAAAGGAGGTGCATCAAGGGAACCACGTTAATCAAATACAGTTGTGCCTCGCTTTACGATTGCCCCGCATTATGACGAAACCACATTACGATGATCTTTTTGCGATCGCAATTGCGATCGCAAAACAATGGTCTAAATGGGTTTTTTTCGCTTTGCAATGATCAGTTCCCTGCTTCGGGAACCGATTCTTCGCAAAACAACGTTTTTTAAACAGCTGATCGGTGGTTTCAAAATGGCTGCTAGGTAAACAAAATGGTTCCCCGCTGTTTTCTGAGACGGATTCCTCGCTAGACAGGCAGTGAAAATGGCTGCCCTATGGAGGATCTTCGCTGGACGGTGAGTTTTGCCCCAATTGGAATGCATTGAAGGGGTTTCAATGCATTTCAGTGGGTTTTTTTTCACATTACGATGTTTTCGCTTAACAGTGATTTTCATGGAACAGATTGTCGTCATTAAGCGAGGCACCACTGTAAAGGGGAGAGCCAAGAATAATGGATCACTACATTAGAAGATGCACCCATACTCTATTGACTCTTAAAGCCAGCGTGAATGTTTGACTTGTGAGCTCTCTATTTTACCCCAGATGTCGGAAGAAATGGACTTGTCCAGGAAAGCTCACATTAAAATCTTTGAGATTTTGCAAAATTTTTATCTTTTTTCTTCTATATTTTTATTTTCGTTCTGCCGGATATGCATTAGATGTGTGCGGGTATGTGAGTTTTGGAACACAAGTCTCAGTACGCTGTCCGAGGCATTCTGGCAGTTGTAGCCCAAAAGATTGCACAAATTTCTCAAATTCTGTTTATGCAACAATTCTTCTGACCCTGATCGGTCTCCCTCATCAAACCTAAATTGCCCATCGAGCCCAATGAACTGAACACTCAAAAACCTTCTTGCATGACGACAAGGAGCCTTGAATAACCACACATATTTTTTGCCGGGATCCTTCACCCCACTCCCTCCTGCTCCGGCCATCAGCAGGGCAAAAGGTGGCAGGAGTGAGATCCCCCTGAAGGCTTAAGGTGAGCAAATCTTGATTCACACAGTGGCAGCCAATGCTCTCTATGGCAAAGCCAGCCTCTGGCTTCCTCCTTCCCCCACTTTCCATCAAACCAGCTTGACATGTCGTTTCTTCTGCAGAAGACTGAGAGCAGAGGCATAAAGAGTGGTGGATGGAAGGATAAATGGCAGAGGAGGAGGAGCGAGGCTGTGTGTGGTATCAAATATGCCTGGAATTTCCCCCCCCCCCGGTGCCTGGAGTCAAGAGTCCAGGTTCCCTCCACAATGTCCCCATCAGGGAGCTTCTGGCTTGGTTGAACTTCCTTTGGTGAAGCTTGGCGATTTCCCCAAAGAGATGGAAGGATAAGAGGCAGAATTGCCTTAAAACGGCAGAGGTCATCCTAAGATGACCTGAGGTGACACTGCCAGCAGTCAGGAGGTCCAGAGGAGGCAGAACTGCATCTTTCCCGTGGTCTCTCTTTGTCTTTCATATTGGAAAGGTGCATGAAAATAATATAATACAGTGGTGCCCCGCATAACGAGGTTAATCCGTTCCGGATTAACCGTCGCTATGGCGAAACATCGCTAAACGGAACAGAAAAACCCATTGGAACGCATTAAACTTCCTTTGCGTTCCAATGGGGCCCAGACTCACCGTTCAGCGAAGTTTCTCCATCCGCTGCCATTTTTGCACCCTCTGTAAGTGAGGGCAGGGCAAGAAAATGCTGCGCGCGGCCATTTTCTTTACCCGGCGGCCATTTTGGAACCGCCGATCAGCTGTTCCCCCAACATCACTATGCGAAAAATGTCACAAAGCAATTTTTGGCCATAGAGGCCATCGGTATGCAATTGCATTTGTGATCGCAAAATCCACATCGATATGCAGATTCGTTGTTAAACGGTGCGCTCGTTATGCGAGGCACCACTGTACAGTGGTGCCTCGCTAGACAGTTACCTCGCTTGACAGTTTTTTTGCTAGACATTGACTTTTTGCGATTGCTATAGTGATTCGCAAAACAGTGATTCCTATGGGAGATTTTCGCTGGATAATGTTTGGTCCCTGCTTCGCAAAACGATTTTCACTAGACGACGATTTTGACAGCTCCCTCTGCACTCGCAAAACAGGTGTTTTCGGGACCTAAGCTTAGCAAGACAGCGATTTAAACAGCTGATAGGCGGTTCGCAAAGCGGCTTTCCTATGGCCGATCTTTGCTAGACAACGACAATTCTTCCTCATTGGAATGCATTAAACAGGTTTCAATGTATTCCAATAGGGAAATGCTTTTCGCTAGACAATGATTTCGCTAAACAGCGCTTTCAGTGGAACGGTTTATCATCGTCTAGCGAGGCACCACTGTACATATTGGAACTGCAGAGCTGGAAGGGACCTAGCAGGATCATCAAACCCAGTAGCCCCTGCCAAGTAGGCCCAGTAGGAAAAGCAAGCTTTCAACCTCAGGCTCCGCAGCCAGAAAGGGTTAATAAAATCAATACCAAAAATACATTTTTAAATCTGATCTTTCAGATCTGATCTTTTGGCAAGGGTAGCTGGAGGTGCTGAGAAATCTAATATATTTTGTTCAGCCAGCAGGGCTTACCTTTGGGGTAGAACTAGTGACTATGCTCTGTGGCTTAAAAAGGTTTTGGATCCACTGTCACTCAACTACTAGTAGTTACAATGGTTTAAAAATGTAACTCAGTTACATCCACAGTATACTATAACTAGTTACATGTGGTTGTGATTTGTAAGGCAGGCAAGCAAGCACTTGCATTCTTACACACGTGTATGACAGGAAACTCATTCATTCATTCAGTCACTCACTCCACAGTTTAGGTGGGGAGCAAAAAGCAAACAACGGGGACGGAACCATTACCAAGAAGTGCAGCTCCGTGCAACTAGTTACTTCTTGGAGACGAAGGAACGTGGATATTTGTTACCAAGTTTCAAGTTAGCTTCCCATTACAAAAGTTCCTTCCGTGCCTGATTCAAAGCCATTTTGGTCAGATCCATTGGCCAAGTTTTTTGGGGCCAACGCAGCCTTCCGGCTCCGCTAGGGTGACAAGGCGCCCACTGGAAGGGTTAAAGGGAGGGCGCTTCGATTCCTAGAGCGGCATGAAACCCTATGGGTGCAACATTCACTTCCTCCCCCCCGCTCAGCAGAGCCTGGCGTTTTCCCGTTCCGCCGGCAGGGGCGGTCGCCGTTGCTTCCGTGTTCCTTGTCTTCCCCGCAAAAGGGGTCTGGTTAGCACGAGGGGGAGAAAGGGGAAGGCAAAAGTGGGGCGGGGCGCGGGAGGGAAAGGCAAGGCGGGAAAGG